TTAAAACTTTTCTGTCTTCTTTATTTGTATATTTGTTGTTTTTATGACCATCAGCTCACCAAAAACATTGCACTTTGACCCACTAAGAAAAAAGTTTGGGCACCTATTATATAGGTTAAAAATTTATTTATAAGGAAATGCCTGCTTCACATTAGAGGCCAAATTTGTTTTAATAATCTGATTATAGACTGAAGTCTGTACAGTATGTTTTTGAATATTAAGTAGCTTAAATTTTATTTACAATCATATTAGTATTATTATTGTGTATTGTTAACATTTTACATTTTTTTACAAATAACTTCTGTTTAATTGGTTTATGCAGTACATTAGGCTGTTTAACATGCAGTTCCTCAATAATAGCACATTACATTGTTTTATACAGTGATGTGCCTACATCTAAGTAGCATTTTCACTGCCCTTGCACTGCATATTCATCCAGAACCTACATTTTTAAAAATCCTGCAGTTGGAGATAAAGATTATTTTTGAGAGGATTCCCCAGCAGCCAGTGACCCAATTAAGTGCTTGAGGCCGCAGTCACAGCGATGCATGCTAGCACATTCAGCCACTGCCATTTATTTGTTTATATCACTAATCGTAAGACTGCGCTGCAACAAGCTCACACGTGTCACTGCTGTTGAAATAGAACAGGATGGAAAATTACAGATGACCAGGCCAGTGTGATTTTGATCATAGCAACATATTCCTAAGCTTAGTAATCAATCATTAGAGTAATGTGGAAATGGTATGACATAATCATTTTCCAAGAAGTGCTTAGTTTCTGTCAGTATGCTGTAGAAAATTGTATTTATTAAAGCATATGCTCAAGAACAGAAAAGAACAACTGCAGTAATGCAGAACATATCAGATGTACCATAAAATTGATAAAAAGAAATCACTGTACACGCTACAGTGCTTTAAAATCACAGCTTTGCATTGCAATTTCAAGTGTTCTTAATTTATTTCTTCTTATGTACATACCATAAAACATTCTTCGATTTTTTTTAAGTTGAATTTATATTATGAATAATCACTAGTATAATTTGTCAGCGTCATTTGTTAGAAATATTACAACAGCAAGAAACAAAAAAACATACAAAACTATTACAATCATTTTCAGTATTTGCTTGTGTCATTGAGAAAACTGGAGCAAAATTTTAGATTAAGTTAATGATAATGAATAAATAGATATTTTGGTCAGTCCAGAGAAAAATGTTGATACTTCTCAGGCCTTTGTTTAACACATGAAAACTTATAAAACACAGATCTCTTGTTCACCAGATGCATATCAAGGAGTTGCACATGTTGAAAGTAAAGTGTGGGACTGAAATCTGGTCTTCTTAACTTGCATACTCCGAATGAGCTATACCAGCTGCTTATCAGTGCTTTCCTTTGGGAGTCTTGGTGTGGAGACTGAGAAATCTTGCACAAACAGTTGATGATGACCACATAATAGTAATAAAATATACATTAATGCTCATAATGATATTTAATAATAATAATCCTCGGGCATTGTTTTCACAGTTAAGGATCTCTAACTGCATTTTCACCTACTTTTGTAGAAAATTGTACTGTTTTTAAATTGCACTTTTTAAAATACTGAATATTAAAAGTACTGAAAATTTAAATGTGTAAAAGCCATATGAGATAGCGTACTTGAGTACGTAATTGTTCAGTGTAATCTGTACTGTACAGTATCTGTTTGCTTCACAGTTTTATTTTACTCCTTGATCCCAGGCATACGGATGTACTGAGTTACTACATTTTGGTTTAATAGTAATCCTGTTTTCAGTTTTACTTCAGTTTCAAATGTTCTGCTTTGTGCTATACATTATAGCTTTGAACATCTTATTGCTAATCAAGGGATCAAAGCCATTTTCTTCTTTATAGACCATGATCTGTGTCACCTGATTTGGACTCATCATATTACATCAAACAAAACACTCTGTGACTTCAAAACAGCATTCTACCAGTCTATACACTGATCTGCAAACAAATAATTGTATGTTTTTTTTTCTATAGCATATAAAATGCTCAGAATGTAAAACATTTATTGCACCTTTGAAATTGCATCATTTTTGGTCATATAAATCTAGTAGCCACTTACAGTTCCTATTAAGTGCTTGTGTTCTCCTTAGTCTTTTAAATCACTGTGGTTGCAGTTACATTGTAGACTAAACATGAAGAGGTGGAACTAATACTATTTTTTCAGAATCCATTACATAACAAAATTAATGAACTGTCCTTATCAATTTTAGAGATTTTGTTCTGTTCCGTTCCAAATGTGTTACACAAAATTGAGCAATTTTATTACTACATTTAATAATCAGTGTAAAGTGCCATTTTTAACTAACACAGCTGACTTAATTCATGAGAGAAGTTGATCAGTTTATGAACTTTATGTCTCTTGACAACTAGGATCAGAATAAAAGTAAAGGCAAATTCTCTTCCCACAGAGGAGGAAAAAGAACTCCTGTGAAAATGCTCTACTTCATAACAGCGTTGGACTAGAGAGCGGAGATCTTTGCACGTTCCACAGGCCTGCTTTCCTGCTCTGGGGATTTACAAGGGCTGAGAGCATATTCTTGTTTGCTGCTCTCCCTCTCCTTTCGCACCAGCTCAGGGAGAGCTAGTGCGCTCTCTCCAACAGCTTTTAGGCTTTAGATAGAGACTACGGAGAAAGGGAGGAGCAGAGAAGGAGAGGGAAAATGAATGTGGCCTACAGCTGGAAAAGGTGCACTATTAGTAAGATTGGCTACATAAGACACAATGGAGCTCAAACTTGCCCCAGTCTAGCTCTCCAGTCCCAGTGGAGAGAGATGGATTTTGAGTCTTTTGAAAGACCTAATTATTCTACATGATGATAAGGGAGCTTGGAGCTTGGACTGCTTTAATGGATATTGATATAGACATCACATAATTGCAGATTTTAAAACCCCCAACTCATGTGACTCATAGGCCTGGTGAATTTAATGTTTACCAGAGCACCATTTTAGATGGTTCCTCTATTTTAACGTCATAGCTGCCTGCCCAACCTTAAACATACCATAACTCTCCATAAATGGTCATTTTCCCTTTTAATGTGTAGTATATATTCCACAGGAGCTGTTTTTTAAGTCCTTTCTCTGAACTCTGGAGGTGCTTCTTTAGTGTATGACTGGTTTTGTGAGACGGGTTTAAAGTCATGTTGTAATGCCGATTTCCCTGGAGTCTCCATTGCAGTCAGAGTGCTGGAAACCAACAAGGACAGGTTTAAGCTCACTGACTGATGGCTATAAGATTGATCCTTCTAGGAGCTTGAGCTGCATGTTGGCTTGGGAGACATGTTGTGGTAGTGAGGGTGGCTTTTGCTGATTGGATGAACTGGTGCACGAGAATAGTACGTGGATGGAAATGATCAAGAGGATCACTTACATGTTACTGCATGTGTAATATTTCCCCTTAGCATTCAGGTTAGCTTCAGACATTCTGTGTACCGTTGATAGAAAAATAAGTGCTTCGTGTGTATGGTTATGGGGACACTGAAGGACTGAAGGTGGTTTAGTAAATGAATATATTTGCTGGTGAGTCTCTCACTGAACTTGGTCTTAAAGACCATTTTGTAAACCTATGTATTTTGTATGCGTTACATTTTTATGCACTTATGATCTAAACTGTATATTCCTTGTCCTCCTACATGTACCGTTGTTCATCCCCATGGATTCCCACGCTAGTTTTCAAGATTTTCTCATCAATTAACTTACCTCTCTTAGGGGTTTACTCAGGACACAGTCCTGCCTTCTGATAACTAGACGCACCCTAGCTTAAGACTGATAATTATATTACATTTTTTATTTTCACCTTCACCATATACAAATATTGTATGAACAAAATCTGTACAGTAGAGTAGCAATCACATATTTTGGACAATGGTCCAGTACCTTTCTTCAAGATAGGTGACAAACACTGACACCAATGTTTTTTTTTATTATTAGCAACTAAATGTAGCTCTAACTTTACACTGTACCATCCATTCTAACATTTCAAAAAATGTGTCATTGCAAAAAATAGTAACATGCAATGTTTCAAAAATGCGTCATTATCACATTACTCCATGTCACATAGAAATAATCATTTAAAACGAAGTCATTTTGGAATTTTTCATTATTAAAGAACTTTTTTTTAAACTCCTACACATTCTTTCAACAGCGTTGGTCTCGGTAAGGTTGTAAACATTACAGCATTTTGCTTTGCTCCTTTAGATGGGTGCATATCATTCTTTTCGAAGACTTGATAAGCAATCATACATCGTAATTGTCTTTGGGCTCCTTAAAAAGCATGAGGGAGAGCTGGATTGTGATTCTGCGAAATCACAAAAGTAAGGTAGATCAAGTAGACACCCTGAGAATCACTGGTCTGTATTTATCTTACTTTCTCTTTTTTACATAATACTGTTTTTTTTTATTTAGAATTGTCAGGTTGGGCGTGGCCCCGGCAGCCGATAAAGGATGGTGGCGAATCATGAGAGGAGGGAGGTTGACTTGCAACCGCCTCCTCTGGAGGCATGGAGACAGAGTTAAGGTGGATCTGGTCAAGTAGTATGTTATCAATGAGAACATCACATGGTGTGGAGAGTGTGGCAGGGGATGACTCGGAGGGGGAAGGTAGTGGTGGAGAGTGGTTGGGAAAGGGGAGGTTATGGACGACCAAAAATCAACTAGGCTCACATGATGGGTTTCAGCTATAACATCAGCAGGTTCCATTGGTAAATGGAAACCCAACAAGTTTTAGCTTTTGTGGACAGAAGACATAACAACCACCCACCCATGTCTGTCACAGCAGTTGCATCCATTCTCTCTCTCTGTCTGTCTCTCTCACTCTCTCTCTCTCATACTCACACTCACACTCATGCATCATGGTCCCTCCAAGATCGAGCACATGGTTTCAGGCACAAACTTGCAATGTGTTACTTGATGAGATTGAGTGTAGTGGGAGGTGAAGAATAAGACAACAGAAGACAGGTGATGCTAAAATGAACATTTATAATGACCGTTGTTGCTGTCGGAAGAAAAAAAATCTTAAAAAACGACTTAATATATATTAGCACTAAATTGCTGACTTCACTGGTAATCCACAAGTCAAGAAACACAACTCACTATTTTTTTACAAACACAATGCTACAATTACATTAAATATTCAATACTTTTAAGTCAGTTAATGAATGGTGTTAAAAGAAACCACTAAAATACTAAAAACAAAACAGTAATTCATCTTTCCAGTCATTCCCCTTTTCTAGTTGTTGTCATTTATTAATAATGTATAGTAGTTTGAAAATAAATAAGCTCATGAAGGGTTATCAGAAAATAAAGCTGGCAGCATAGAAACATTTGATGTGGAGCACAAAGCTTAATCATGACTCATGGAAATGGCCAATGTTTCTAAATCACAGCAGAAACAGTACACCTGTGAACTGATGCCCCTAAAGTCAAAGACATCTAATGAACACAATTTACTCAACACATCTGATATGTACAGTGACCTCAATAGCTACCATCAATTCAGGTATGAAATCTAGTCTACCTTAATGTTAGTAACACAAAACATGATGAGTTTCAAGAGAGAAACATGTTTTTGATATGGACTGATGTGAACCGTACTTGTTATGACATTGATAAGCAATTATCTAGCAATCTGGAACAACACCTGTGATAGATGATAACTTGCACGCTAGCTAAATGTGACAAAGGTACAGCTGTCTCCACAAGTGAAACTAATCTTAGCAAGCGTGTGATACAGCAAAAGGAGCAGGGCACTGGTGCTGACATTAACTGCTTGAAAAGCAATCGCTATGAATAATGTCCAGTTTACAGGGCTGTAATATTGCTGCATATGAATGCATTGTGGAAAATGTTTAGGATTCAGTGCAAAGCAGCCCTTTCAAAATAAAAATGGATGTTCTTTTTTAAATAGAGCTGCATTAGCATGTTCTATTAGCATCAAACTTGAATGCCACACCGTTAATAATTTGTCTGTTCTAACATTGCCTTTTGGCACGCTCCACAAAACTGATTTTATGCTGCCAGCCCCATTCTGTTGAACACGCTTCTGGTTACAGTTCAACAAAATCTGACAAAAATATTTACAGTGAGAGGAAAAAATGAAGTTGTGGAGAAGCAGTTTGGAGCTTGTTTATATATTTTTTTGTTTTTGTTTTGTTTTTATTCTTTAACTCTGAGAATTGTCCCCAATGCGTATTTTAACAAAAAGAAATAAATCCAATCATATCAACTATAATTGCACAGTCTCAAAAAGGTTTGGAGATGGAATGGAGATTTTAAGTCCAAACAGTTGATGAACACAGAAGGGGAGGAAGAAGGTCAATAAAGTTCATGAGGGGTGAAAAGTTCAAAGTTCAGAAGACAGAAGATGGCTGCGCAGCTGACGTTTACACTCCTCAGCTTTTTTGAGCATGTTTCTATGTTAAAGAAAAAGCTGTCATTGAAATGATTTTTTTTTGTTGTTGTTGTTTTAATGTTTCCCATCGAAAATCAAATGGAGAGACTTGGGGGTGAGGAGAGTGACAAGTGCCCCCAACATTATGGCACACAATCAGTGATGTCCTGGAGGTTGAAGAGATGACAGAGAATTAGGAAAAGCAGTTTATGAGAGGTAGCCAGCCTTTTACCGTGTTATTCCAGGTCTCGCTTTTACTGGTTGCTTTTTTGGGTAATGTTGAGGCGTCATGACTGACATCATGTTATGGAGGAACATGCTGGCTTCATGGGTGCGTCCGATGGATGTCCAACATACAAGAGAACTCAAAAAGTTTGGAATGGTACTGTTGTTGTTTGGCACTCAGGAGAAAGTCTGGGAGGGTGTGAGGGAGAGGTCGGCAGAAGTGTGGGTAGTGGTTGGAAAAAGGGGGGCAGTGAAAAGTGCAAAAGGGGGAAAGGGGGGAGTAAACAGGATACATATGAATGATTCTTTTTGTTATACTTGGTCTAGGTTAGAGAGTGTCATACAAATAAGAACAGGTAAATCAAAAAGAGAGAAAAGAACAGTGATATGACAAATGTGTTCTAACGTTGCTGGTGCTTCGATGGGTACAAGCTTAAGAGTGACCCCAGGGTTGTTTCCTGATGGTGGGGGCCTGGGAGGATTGGGGGTGGGGTTGGATTGGGGGCGTGTGGGCTGCTGGAAGAGCGCACAACCGCTCTAGCCATTTGCCCGCATAAAAGCAATGACCTTCTTAACACCAGATAAACCATAAGTTTGCATTTATCTTCACTCTACTGCATGTGACAAAGCTGCCAAACTCAGTAACATGGAGACAAACTTGTCACCGACAGAGAAGAGCCACGACATGTCCACACACAAAAAAGCTGCTAAAAGCATGTGAGCACAAACACAGAAACCCTCATTCAAACTCTGCAAGAAGACTTTCCCACAAAAATGTCTGAGACTAAGCATGGCAGTGCGCAGTGCAATGACTTGATTATATGTGTTGACATGGAACTAAAAAAAAGCTGTCATGGGTTTGTACTTGTCCTTTTTTTTGGAACGTTCTTGTTCTTTTTTCAAATTTTTATCAAAAAACTTCAAACAAGGTGCAATCTCCAATTTTTGTGAATTGTAGAAACTATCCTGCTGTTGCTGGAAAGCTCGGATAATTGGGACGTTTTTCATGCTTTTCATGCGGTCTAACAGCACTAACTCAAAATCAGCATTCTCTTTGTGGCACCTCGACAATACACTCAAACTGAGAACATTTGCACATTCTCCACTTATTAATGGAGACTGTAGGTGAAGGATATCCAGAGATTAGCATTTGCTGACACGTCATATAAAATATCTACTAATCTGATCGGGTTTTAGGGTTTGGGGAGACATAAGAGAATACAAGTCACAAAAGCTGAATATCAGAGACAGAGGGCTCAAATGATAAACTCTGCAACTCATTCACTGTCATTTACAGTTTGGGCCATCTTTGCAAATGTGTAATAAAGTGCATATCATTATAAGAATGGGATCGAGCTCAATGTAGAGTTATGATGTAACAAGCTGAAGAAAGTACAGGGCATTATGTAGCCTAAATGATGTTAGTATTGGCACACAGTATACAAAAACATATCATGCTCTAAAAGTCATGACTGAAAGAGTGATATGCAAACTTATGCAGTGGTGGGCACATTCAAGGACAAGACCTTGATTTTAGTGAGAAAAAAAAAACAGTAAATTATTCACCCAATTTTGATTAGGCTACTTCTGCTATGAATAAATTCCTTAGTCTTACAAATCGCAATAACAAAATGGACATTTTTTCTCTTAAAACGCTACACCTCTCAGGCAAAAAAGAGCATAAACGTATAAATGCACAAACTATGACTTTATGTATGAATGATTTTGGTTCCTGCAGATGGACAACAAAACATCTCACCTTGGCCTTAGCAGAACTAAAAGACAGCTTAAAATGTGTAAATTAAAGTAAATCCCAATGCATTAAATGTTGGCATGCAAAGATTTGTCCTCAAAATGAACGAACATTGCCTAATTTTTTTTTTTTGTATGATTTTTGTTTCTTGAAGTTTTTTAAATCCACGCTTCACTTTGATATCATGCAATATAGACGTGCAAAAAAGATAACATCTATCTTCACAAAATACATTTTCAGAACTAGAAAAGGCTGTATTAAGAATGCTGATAACTTATTAAACTCTAACCATGCTAGCCTAGGTCTACGGCAGTCTTCTAGCCCCATTAATGTAGCATTAATGGCCACATGGCACTATATGCTTTTGTTTGGTGAGCAAGATGACTCCCTCATACCTTCCTCTTGTTTTAGTTTGAGGGGGTAGAAAACTTCCAACTTAATAGCACTAATGTCTATTTTGTTCCTACTAGTTTTAAAAACAGTCACTTTCACCCCTGCTAGTTATATCTTAACTGTGGTTTGTTTGGCACTTTTCACATTTTTTTTTTTAATTTATAAAAGCATTTCTGCTTTTATCTAATGGTGTTGAAATCGTACATTTACAGTTGCTGAATCTGTAAAGATCTATTTTGGCACAGGTTTATTTAATCTGTTTAATATAGCAATTATCTCGTCATGTAGCATTTATTACACCTCTTAGAACTAGCACATCTTGCTAAAGAACTGACCAGATATGTTTATCTTAAATTTTAGTACGTCACTTATTCAATAGCAGCATCTTCACAACTTAAAAATATTAAATACGCAAACCTACTAAACACCTAGGTAAATCGAAAGCTCCTACACAGACAGAATAAAAGACAAGACAGGACGACATGCTACTACGTATATTGCTTCCAGTACTTATCACATTTTATCTGTTTTCCCCAGTTATTAATAAAAGAAAAATGCAGATGCCTCCTTAAAATAATGCGCTCTAAGTACTGAAAAATAAAAATCCCAACCAAAAACAAAGAAAAAACTAAAACAGGAAGCTGCTCCTAGGCACACTATGTTGGCACCTTTTCTTAGTTTTCACATTGAAATTTCACAGTAATATCTTTGCTCTTCTTTATTTTAATCAAATTTCTATGTAATTAATGAAGCCTCCTTATTCTTTTTTTCCTAAACAAAATATCTGTGTGTGTGTGTGTCTGTGTGTTTGTGTATGTGTATGCGTGTGTGTAGTGGGCCGTTTATGGTGAGAGTGACTGATTCTGATTCTGGTGTGTTTGCTCATAGGCGTCTATGTCTGCACCATGGTTAAAGAGCGAGACGCAGATGCACTCTAAAATGCGGAGGCACTCACTTTCCATCACTCCCTCCACTTCAGCTGTGCAGCTTTTTATTTTTATTTTCTTTGTTTTTTTGAAAATATCGCAATCACAAATAATCACTGTTCTTCTTCATTCGGAAAACACATTAACACTATTGTCTACTGCAGCAGCTAGGTTAATTAGTATCTAGCATCATTAGTGCGTTTAATGAGACACAAAACCAACATTTTCTCATCAGCTGGACGGTAATCTGTGCTCTAAAACCACTGCTTCTCCTAGAGGTACTCTGGCTTTCAGCTTCTGTGCAACCTCACTCCACTTAACCTACATCGACCAGCTTGTTCTACTTAGAAAGGAAGCTATACACAGTCCCTTTTTCCCTTTTTCAAAGAGTGGATCTGTGGTGTAGCCTAGTGCAAGCGTTTTTCCTCTCTACACAGCAACATCTTAGGACACATCTTCTCTTTCGTGGAGTCATTGTTTTGTGAAAGGGCAAGCAAAACATGCACTGTAGCACCAGACATTGCCACCCATGGAGAGATGTGAGAGAAAGGGGTCTCTGGGTTGATGTGTCAAAATGGGAGTGCACGAAGGTAAAGAGGGATTGAGAAGAGGTGAGGGAAGTGGATGGTATTAGATGGGAATAAAGAAGCCTCCTTACCAAATCAGTTCAGATATACTCTCCCTGCTGCTCCAATAGCAACTGAGAGGAAGACAGTCATGTCTTTAGTCAGCGAAGAGAGCACACTGCTGCCTAGATTCTGCTGTGGCTCTGGTCATATTTTACTTCCGCTTCTTATGTTGCTCCAGTCTATCTGAAGATGCGCTCTTTAATTTTTATAAACCACAAGCCTGGCCATTTTGAAATGTTGGGCCTAGTCCTGATATGTGATTTGATTTTCAGTTTAAGACGGGTGATGTTAGATCCATGGGATTTCTTTTCTTTCCCCTTCTTTTTGTCTTATTGTTTCTACATCAACGGTTAGGGAAAATCATGATAAGAATTTCGGGCCATTAAAACTGTATGTGGGAATTTGTTCACCTTAGAATAGACAGTAATCAAGAGTGAAGCTGGGAAATAGGTATGATGCCCAAAGAAACTTGTTATTCATCATTATGTAGATCTCTCCTTACCTATGTGCAGCAAACCAGCCTGTCCTAAGTTGGTGTCATTTTGAAAACATTCGTGCTTCTGACAAGATGCTGTTTTAAAACTGCTTGTTTATGATGTAAAACCCTGACTCCTGGGACTCCGAGCACGGCCTCCACACTTCACAGTGCATTAAGACGAAATTCAGTGTATTCTATCAACAAAAGAAATGCAGTACTACGGGACTTTTTTAGCAGCACATATGTTGCACACGGGCAGTTCTGATGAGTACAGAGTTCTTTTACGCAGGTAGTTCAGTTTGCCAAACTAGTGGTACCTAGTATAGGAAGTGGACGGTTAATCTGGTGGACGGTTAAACCCCACTCGTAACCACGTTGAACAGGTTATGAGACTGAAAGCATATGTGTCCTTCTCCATGCCATCAAGTTTTTCATTAAAAAGTAAATGGCTTGACTGGGCAGACTCCCTGTGCTCATCGGAACTGTAATTTTGTTCATGTCTGTAGTTGTTCAGTAGTACATGTCCACAAGGAGACAAAGCTGCAGGGCTCTGCGGGACATCTCTGTGTTTGATATGAAACATCTACACAAGTCTTCCATAGCCATTGATAGGGGATTTGAGCAGATGTTTTCATCTCAGCTCGCTCAAAGTAAATATAAAAGTGCAACACACTTTCTAATACAGAAAAGAGGACATTTTTGAATGTTACATGGGATTCAAGACAGAACCAGTCCATAAAGGGCCTTGATCACATGAAAGAAGCTGGAACTTTAAAGATTTGTTCTTGATATGGGTACACTCCCTTGGACTTGTGCAAAAAACCTACATTCTCTTTCTATAATTAGATATGTTTGTAAATTGTCTAGTCCCACTGATTTTATGTCTAACCACAACTCAGATATGTGTAATTCCCTTTTTATGTGTGTGTCTGTATGTGCATGTGTGTGTTCCATGTGTTAATATCACTGTACAGTACATCATATCTGACCACTGCTCCTGTTATCTCCGATGGTGCCGACGGTGCGGTTGTCACTGGACTTTAAATAAGACATATATTACACTGTGACACACTATTCAATCCACTTAAATAAAAAACTAAATCCAAAATATTGTCTTTACATTCATGTCAACCTGAATTCACAGATTAAGAAAAAAAATGAAAATACCTCAGTCCTTATGGGTGAAATTATATTAATAAATAATGTTGATGGTGATGATATTTTTGTAATAAGAGTAGTACTACTACTAATAATAATAGTATTTAATACCAGACAGCACACCACATCGAGAAATTGCCACAATCTCTGGGTGCTCTGGTACTAACTTGAGATTCTGACCCAAGTAGGTGCGTTATGCATCCTGGCCTACGTCCCCAACAAGATCCACAAACTTCCCTTACACTAGCAACATCTGTAGTAGCATCGAATGGCATGCACCTGGTTAACCCCAGGTTTTTAGACTAGTGGCGCAGTTAGAGATGTTACTGCAGCCTCGTATCTCCCTCCCTAGCCCACCCTGAGCAGCGCTGGGGCGGCTGGCTGGGAGTTAGGGGGCTGGGATTGTGGGTAGTGTGGTATGGGGTGCCACTGGCTAGGAGGAATCTGCCTTAGGTCTAAAAAAACCAAGCACTTGTTTGCAGTCTCATCAGACCCACATAAAAGGGGGACAGGGAACGTGGGCGAGGGGGGCGGGTGTTTAAACTGAGAAGCCAAAAAGTAAAGAAAAAAAAATCTTGTCAGCTAGGAAGGGGTGGGGATGGGGAAAGGGCTGTTTCCAGGGAGGCTGAAGTCCAACTGCTCCACCCTGTTCTCCCCAAACCCCACCCCACCCCCCACCCCACCTGCCTGCTGGGAGCTGCAGCGCGGAAGCATGCCAGTCTGAAATACCGTTGTCCAGAAAAAAACACAAAAAAAAGAAAAAAGGAAAAAAAAAATTCAACCAATAAAAAAATCCCAAAAAGATCAAAACTTAAGAAATAAACCCATATATACATTTTACACATTTTTTTTTCTTGGTTTTCGATTTGACTCATTCCTCTTCTTTCAGAGTGGACTACATTTTCCATCTTTTTTAATACTGAAATATGCACAAAGCTTGATGATGATTTTCTTCAAAATTCTTGCCCTCCTTTCTCTTCCTCTGTATCTTTCCATACCCCACTCTTTCTCTCTCCCTGTTTAGCCCACCTTCTGCGGATTGGTGGCCCTCACACCCTGCTCGTACGTGATTCGCTGGCTGATGAGATACTGGGCCGCTTGTGTGGCGGCAGGCGATCCTGTAATGGTAACTTTTCGGTTCCTGGTGCCAGGAACAAACTCCCCCTTTTTGGAGATCTGGATTCGGGCTCCCGTCAGTTCCTGGTACTCCACAAGCGTCTTGCCGCCCTTGCCCAAGATGGCTCCCACCAAGTTCTCGGGCACAGCGATCTCCACCACGTCTTTGGCCCCTTCAGCCAGCTTCTCAGTGGCTAGCAGTGAGCTAGCGACTAATGGGGAGGCGGCGCTCAGGTATCCATTGGTGGCCCCAGTGGCGGCAGCCAGGGAGCCCAGCGTGAAGCCTCCCAGGCCAGTAGCGGGGTGACCTGTGCTGGTGGAAGCGTCGTTGGCGTAGGAGGCCAGCAGGTTAGCAGCAGCAGCAGCAGCGGGGTTAGCGCTGGCTGCTACAGCAGCTAGGACTCCAGAGGCAGCAGCAGGGTTGAGCCCCAGGCCTAGGGAGTTGGTGTTGTATCCGTAGCTGGCTAATGTGTTGAGGGCAGACGTGATGGCCAGAAGATCATTCCCTGAGAAGCTGGACATGGTGGCAGGGAAGGCCCCCACCCCTGCCAGGCTGGCCTGCCCCAGGAGGCTAGAGGCAGTGGCTGCAGCGGCGGCAGCAGCGGCCGGCATCACCTCAGCCGAGTTAGCATAGGGGGAGCCAGTGGGGTTGGAGTTTGCCACTGGACCAGAAATGTTGGAGTAGCTGATGTTGAGGCAGCTGCTGCTCTGTGGGTCTTCCTGGATCTTCTGTACAATGATTTCCACGGCCTTGCGGTTCTGCTCAGGTTCTCCACTGACAGTGACCACACGTTCCTGCAGGTTGATGCCCTCAGGCTTCTGGGACAGCTGCACCCATGCCCCAGACTGCTCCATCACGGCCTTCACTGTTGCTCCGCCCTTACCAATGATCAGCCCCGCTGTGCTGTTGGGCACAATCAGCTTGGCCTAGAGAAGACATGAGAAAGCAGAAAGCAGCAGATTAGCACTCAGCTATGAAGTGATGAACTTCAGCTTTAGCTAATCAGTGTATTTTATTAAGCATAAGATGCACCATTTCTTCAGATTAACCTTCAGATGTCAAAAGGTGTTACTGTTGTTTTACTATACAATCAATTTATATTTCACCATTTTTACGTAATTACATAATTAAGTACATTTTTAATTTAAAAATGTGTTAAATTCGTGAGTTACATTTTACATTCGATCTACATTCTATACCAACAGGTTTGACTCTGTACTTCTGTCATTTTTTAGCTTCAAATGTAAAAATGTCAGTAATGTTTCAGCAATTTCAGATTAATACAATATCTGCTCCTGTTTACAAACACAATTGTGGCATTGATTGACAGTTAGAATTTGCACTTTTGGCACAATTTCTCCAACTGAGGAACAATTAAAGAAATTAGCGAGGTGCTTTAAGGCGTATATGCCAGGGAGGACCCAGGAGGGTTAACTTATGCAGCTGAATTGAATCTAGTTCATCAGTGAACTGAGATCATTTTGTCTTGGCCGATTTTTTGGCTCAAGTCTGTGATGAACAATTGCATGTCTACATGAAACAATGACGGACGAAATATAAACAGTGGTCACCATGGTTTCTGCTCTACCCTGCAATGTTCTGGACTTGGAACACATGTATGACATTCATCTGGGTACACAAAGTTCTCGGAGCATACTGGTCTTATTAAAATAAGGTTAAATTCATTCAGCTAGAGAACAAACATGTTCTGGCATTTTGAGTCACTTTAGAAATGATGTCAGAAATGGCAAAATAATTGTGTGAGGCTCGTTTTCATGTTGGACTGGATCAAAAAGAGGGGCTTTCTATTATGCTGCACAAGAGAGAGCAAGATCAGCCTCCAAGACATGTCATAGCGAACATGCATGTGACAAACAAGGGAGTATGCGTACCCAAGGAAAGGAGACAGAATGGTGGGGAAGAAACAGTTTCCGAAACAGAAAAAAACATTTTTATCTACATTTGCAGAAAACACAACCAAGAAAATCTTAAATTAAATCCCTAAAACAAATACAAGAATATTATAGGACACATAAAAAAGAAGTGAGGGTGGGAGGGATTTTTTTTTGTCCTCATGCTTTCTGAGCTGTGAATCACTGGGTAAAAAGAGGCTCCTCGTGAAAAGCATCGACTCCCAGGGGTCAGCGTTTCCATGGCAACTCAACTCCAGCATTCAAGGGGGACTGAAAGGGAGTCGGAACGGTGCATAGCAACCAACCACCCTTTTCTACACGCGGAAACACACACACACACATATGCACCTGTGCACACATAAACACAGCCATGCTCTTAAAAACACCTCCCAGTTATGCTAAGGAATATCTGTAGGCACACAGGAATAAACACTTAAAAGTGGTGCATCATGGTCCCAAAAAAAAAACAAAAAAACGCCCAGCCTTTGTTGTTCTGAAGAGTGTATGGGAGAGGCAGGATTTTTCTTGTATTTTCTTATATTTTATTGACTGATTCATTAATAAGCATCTGTCTAAACAAAGCTTTGTTCCCCTTGATCGCTGTCAAGGTATATCTGTATGTTTTATTCATAATACATATAGTATATCACACATATTTGTGGTTCTAGTATTTTAAGACAAAACAACAATAACTTCTGTGTTCTGACAGTGAATTAGTTCCATTTCATATAATGAAAAGCTCCAGTCTGATAGCAACGCTTCCACAATGCTGGATTCTGAGTATTTGCACACTGTCAAAATGACAGATAGGGAGAGGAAAACACTTCAAAAAAGATGGGAGGAGTGGGCTGACAGAGCCAAGAGGGAGGTATGTGCGTGCGTGTGTGTGTGTGTGTGTGTCTGTGTGTGAACAAAGCGAGGCAATGGGAAAGGAGGCTGAGTGGGGAAGAAGGGGGTGGTGATTGGCTCAGTCTTATGCTTGTTTCTTTTGTGCGCTCTGTTTTGTTCCCTTTTCACTTTTTGCACCAAGGTCTGCTGCAGTGCGCTGCCCACAGGCAAGTGTTTCCAGAGGCTTCTCAGCACAGTGCCACAGCCTTATCTGAAGTACATTTGCACAGAAATGAAAGAAATGACGGGAGGAACTACTCCCACATTCATTTTTTCACCTTGCAGAAACAAAGCAGAATAAAACAAACATTTATAGCAAAATACTCTTTATTTCTTTAAATGCAACAGAAATGTAGTCTGTGTGTTCAAGCAATGGCTTGACACATCATCAGTCAGTCATTTTCTAATGCAAGGGGGCAGTGGTTCTGCTTCAGTTGGCTTTACTTTCAGTTCAACACCAGCCTTTATCTTACAGAAAGGGAAAAAAAATCTTTGTGTGAACTATTTAAATGATAGAATGTACTACAGAAACTCTTCCTTAACAGTGATCATGGGTTGCACTGATCACCTAATCACTGAAAACTTTTACAGTGGCAACAGTATTTTTTTGACAAATTATACAAAAATGCATTGCATTTAAGTGGCAACATATCACTTACTGTGTACTGCTCTACCCTTATTTCACAGAATCCTTCTCTCTCTCTTTCTTTAATTCCCACATTTGGCAGGCAAATTGCTGAAGAAAAGGTGGCCTCGCTGGTGGGTGTAAGAAACAAGCGATGTGCTTCTCAATTGAGCAGAATGCATCTGAGCACACGGTAGGATGATCTCCCCCACCCATGTGCTATTGAAGAATGATAGAGAGAGAAAGAATAGAGCGTGCAAGACACTGAGAGGGATAAAGAGGCGGAGGGTGTGTGAGACGAAAAGAAAAATGAGAGCAGAAGCTGTGTGTGTGTGTGTGTGAAAATGGCTGAGATCTGCTGCTGTGCCACCAGTCATATGGGATCACTAGCCTTTGATGAACTGCAAGGATGTGAGGATGTGCAGGGGGTTGTGGGTAATGGGCAAGGAAAGACAGGTCAGTCGTGAAGGACGCACATATGCAGGGGTGGAAATGACCAGGTTTTACTAGGAGAACCCTTTTTTTCTGCTGCATCATTGCATAGTTAAAATAAATCTCATGATATTTTTAATCACACAATAAATGTGTAAATCTACTGCATTTCCTGCACTCAGAAAAATACAGAAGTTTTTTTTATTTAAGTCATAAGCTGGAAGCTTGGCTGCTTTTTCTTAAAAGCTCAACTTCTTTAGATCAAGGTCTCCTAGAGTTTTAAAAATGTATTTTTTTTTAAATCTAATTTAATGCTGTTCGAATACCCTTTTTAAGACCTCAGCATAGCAAAAATAATACCACTACCACTGCATAACAGTGCATACAACCTGAATTATGCAGTAATGTCACTTTATTCAAACCAGTAAGTTGAAAAAACATGAACATATAGCTTTTCTGTCTCTTCATAAGTGGTCAGTTTTGACCACATGAACACTGTCTGGTGTTTTTTTTTGGTCGGCAGACTGTACTACATTAGTTCAATATGCACAATGACTCTTTTCAACATGGTCTTTATGCACATGCACATGCTTTAGAAACAGTGTAAAATAACTAGGTTTTTTTTTTTCTTTAATAACAATTGCCTGGATCTGAGCCTGAACACTGTTCCATCCCGACCTGCAGCAGTGTCCTGTTTTATTGCTGTCCATCTCCACCTCTGCATGGATGTATCACTGCTGGTCAGAGTTTTTCAGGCCATACTTTTGTACTCTCTCTGATACATCTCTGCTTCACAAAACAAAAATAATGAATCCAGCATCTAAACCCAGCACAAATGCATCAAAGACTCTGGCTTTTTGCTTAGCTTTTGCTGAAGCTGCAGACGAACCCCCCTGAGCCTGTGTAGTAGCTGATCTAACTACACCCTGTAGCAGGCCACACTGGCATACACAGCATACTACACAAACTCTGCAAACTCTCCCCACTGCTGCCCATGTAAACAGAAGAGCATGCGTCCCCTCATTAACATCATGGCTAAACTCAAATACCTCTCTGAGCCATGACCCAGAGGCTTTGGACAATAACCTCCCACCCATCTCACCCAGCTCAGGGATACAGCAACTGCCCCAATCACACACACAAACCCCACCTCTGTCCTCCAGAGTGGTGCCTGACTCTACAGTCGAAGCCGTTTGCACTTTGAAGTCTTAAGCGCTCGACTTTGGGTTAATCGCCTGTCTCCTGATCCGGGGGCTTACTCGCCCATCTCTCACTCGCTGCATCTGCTTCAGTCCATGCGCTGTGACTGCTGGCATTAACGTAGAAAAAAAAACACACACACAACGCCCCGCTGGTTAAAAATAACGCCCTGTCCTCCTCCTCACCTCCAGCGTCTGAAAGCTGGTTGTGGCTGCTGTTCTTCACTGAGGTCCTGAACAGGATTCGGGGCCTTAACAATGAAACGCTGTCTTTGGTCAGCGAATGCCCTGCAGGCACCCGCTAACTTTGCTTGTCGTTTTTTGTTCTGAATGGAAGTGAAGAAAGTTTCTAGTCAAGAGGAATACTTGTGCTTGTCATTTCCATCCCTTCCTCCATCACACTGAACTTCTTTTAAACCTATATTTCCTCTAAATTTTCGTTTCAAAGTCTGATTTTCCCTTTACCCTAGATTTAATCAGTCACCCAAGATGCTCGGTGTACAAAGTTTGCTTCTTTAGTTTTGAACTTAAGCTAGAAAAGTAATGGAGCCAATGATTAGCATTGTGCAAACTGCATGGCAAAATCATCACACCAGTTCAGGAATCCCAAATATACTCGCTTGTGTAGTATCTGACACTGCACTGTACACATACTGTTGTCTATAATAAATTGACTAAAGTACAGACAGAATTCAGGGTTTAAGATGGCTTCTAGTACTCATTATAGTTGTTAGTTGTATTTTGAGTTCCAATTTAATTGGTATTTTAAAAACACAGATATGACCCAAGCAAAGTGCAACAAAGGGAAAAGCTATAGAAATAGGTGGACAGTAAACAATACACATGAAAAGGATGTGACTAGGACTTTG